AATCGTTACAGAAATGAGATACTTCTAACGATTTAGTTAAGATTTCGGGAACTTTGCTTTGCAGGGTATATGAAATAGATGCAAAAACATTTTTGTCTACTTTGCTTCTAATTTTTTTCATTGCATATGCACAAGCACAAAGCAACAACATTTTCGTATGCTTTGTTGGAACATATTGGCGCCAGTTACCGTCAGCGTAAATTTCATTGTTGTCCTGCATTTTATCGCAATGTTCGGGTGTCCGTTTCATTGTTACACCAATTTTCGGGTTAACTGCGTGTGTCCGAGTGTGGTGTTCGCTTGTGCGCAATTTATAGCGAGGGTGATCGAACAGACTCGTTCGTAATAAAAGCAGCTGTCGGGTGTGCATCTCGATCGAACACATAGTAGCCGAGTGTGGCGTTCGCTTGTGCTCGATTTTTAGTGAGGGTGATCAAAAAGGCTCGATCATACACAAAGCTGTTCTCTGGTATAGACGTGCACCTTTCTTTAAGCCTATTGCAGAAAGTTTGGCATCGTTGTTTTACTGTTGCGACATCAGTAATCTGCGGTTTTTGATCCTCACACCAAGCGCGTATTTAATGACACCTGCATCCTTCGCTCCCATCACGAACTCGACATAAGAAACATCCCAATGACTAATTTTTGTCACCAAAAATACACAAAAAATTCGATTTCTTTACCAAAGGTTGACTTAAAATGNGNTTTTTTTTTTTTTAAATTGTGCAATTTTGTGCAAGTTCCTACTTAAATGGAAAATGGTTTTTTATTTTCTGTCAATTTCCATATAAAATTAAAAAAATTTAAATCATTTTTCACTTAAGTTGCTTTCGTGAAGTTGGCTGTTAGAGTTTAGTTAAAAAAAAGGCCAAAAACAACTATAATTTTATTAAAACATAAAATAATTGAAGTAAAGAATGTACACGAAAAAATCTGGTCGCACATAACCAAGCATAGCTCGGTTAATCATAACATTAAAATAAAAATCGGTAGACACTTAAAAAGCTGGAAGCATTTTCCACCTTACTGCATCATTTCTTTTTAGTAACAAAAATCAGTGTAGAAACGAGGACCAAGAAAGAAATCGATCGCGAGTTAATACTGCGCAAAAAGCTGGAAAATTCCAGCATGTTCCATAACGACATCGCAAAAAGGCTAAAATTTCCAAAGTCTACCGTTACTTATGTGCTTAAAAAATACAATGAATGTTTATCTTTAAAAAGGAACCCTGGTAGTGGCAGAAAAAAAGGATTTGCTTGCGAAATTAAGGCAAAGGAAGTGTTATCTGCTTTTAAGAAAAATCCTGGACTTTCGGTAAGAGATGTCGGCAAAAAATTAAACATGTCGTCTTCGTATATACAAAAAGTATGCAAAACAGCAGGACTACATTCTTACAAAGTGAATGCAGCACCTAATCGCAACGGAAAGCAAATTTTGTTGGCGAAACAACGTGCTCGGAAATTGTACGACAGTCTTATACAAAAATTTGGCTGTATTGTTATGGATGACGAATCGTACGTAAAAGCCGATTTTAAACAAATCCGGGGCCGCGAATTTCACACTGCAAATAAAAGAGGCAATGTTGCAGATAAATATAAAAACAAAAAGTTTGACAAATTTCCCAAAAAGTTTCTCATTTGGCAGGCAATTTGCCAATGCGGCTTCAAAAGTGATCCTTTTGTAAGCACTGGTACAATTAACCAAGAAATTTATGTTAAGNGTTTGCTTATTACAAAGAGAATTAACTCTTTTTTAACGAATTTCAATAAAACTAAGTTTAGATGTAAATATATGTAAATATCGTTGAATTCCATTAATATATTTATGTTTTAGAACGTTTTAACTGTGACCAGTTTTTTTCGTGTACATTCTTTAGCTAAAAAACTAAACAATAATTTTTCTTGTCGTATGATTCGAACTCCCGACCTCGAGGCTCGAAATACTGACGTCTGGCAGGGTACAATTTCGATCAGCTCAACTCCGTCGTTAATCCAAATAATAGCTCAGTTATGCATACATTGCACTGCACGCATAGCATGTCTTTTTACGTAGATTTAAAAAAACCAACACACATCTACATATGTAATGGTGTGCGTTGGGTAACCGCTTACACGCAAAGCTCATTTAACAGATTCCTTATGTGACGACAACCTTCATGCAATGACAAGTATGCATAACTGAGCCATAACCGTTGCCGTCTGACTATAATATTAGGCGATTATATTTTGCCAAGTTTTTGGCAAAACCTCGCTCTTACATTCAAGAATGTCTTGTCCTTTAACCAAAACAAATGTAATAATGAAATACCAAAAGTGTACCTCCCCAACTTTACACTTAGTTAGGTACATCATGTTCTTTAGAAATTGAATTTGCCTAAACAATTTTGGTCGAGTCCAACGAACGTCAGTCGTTTCTCTTTTATTCCGAGTGAAACCAAGTCCTTCACCTGGCATATCTATCGCAGATGAGGTATTCTTCGTCCTCTCCTACCACTAGAGGGTACGGCGTTGAATATTTTTAGGGCTGCCGCATTTGCGTTCACTCGTACGACATTATTTGCTGCACTATGTTCATATGGCTGTAATTAGCGCAAAAAGCGCTGGTACATGCACCCAACCACTTCTTTGTCGGCAGCTTTGAACAGCTTAGGCGGCATGCCGTCCGCTTCACTTAGCATTGGTCTAATGGAGGAGCGTGATCTTGATCCATGTTCAGTGGTCTCGGTTTCTTTTTTTCTTTGTAAAATGCGCCGCCTGTGTCGTCATTCAAAAGCTCAAGTCTACTTTGAACGTCTGCCTTATTTTCCGTTAGAATTATCGAGCCTCGCTCGAATCGCTTCTTCTGCCTATCACAATGGGATCAATTTTGTTCTTCGTTCTTTGATCACGAGATACCCACGTGGCTTTGTGGATGTTTTGATGCTCGTACTACTGCTTTCCAAGCCGTGGAAAAGTCGATCAGCCTGTCTTCGGTGTCGGAGGTGTGCTCGTAATAGCCAAAGTTTCGCACAGTTCAAAATCAAAAGGAAACACTCGGGGACCACGACAGTTACTACTCTTATTAAAAAAATCGCTCTTTAACAATTGTTTTTTTACTTTTATTTAATTACTCTTTAAATAACAGTTATTTTTGAACTTTATTTTATAAATCTAAAGTAACAATTATTTTTGATTTCTGTCTAAATAATCTGCAAATAACAGTTATTTTTGATTTTTGAAGTATAGGCTTAGATAACAGTTATCGGAGACTTTTATTTATAAAAGTCGTAAATAATATCAGTCACTGACCTTTATTTTTTAAATCATACTTATAAAAGTCATTTTTATAAGTCGTAGTAAACTTTTTTGTTTTCCAACACCTTAACTGTGAAAAATGTTAATGACTTTTATGCGAATGATTTAAAAAAGAAAAGTCGGCGACTGATTTATATTAATGACTTTTAAAAGTAAAAGTCACTGACTGATTTTTATTTATGAGTTTTATAAATAAAAGTCTTCAATAACTGTTATTTAAGACTATTATATGTCTTCAAAATAATTGTTATTTTGGACATATAATATATAAAATAAAAATATAATTGTTATTTTGGACATATAATATAAAAAATAAAAACATAATTGTTATACTTTTTAATTTTGCATACAAATTGCAAATAAAAATTTATTTTCTAATTTGATTCTCGGTGAAAAAAGAAATCGATTGGTATGTATCACTTAGTTGTAGAACATTTCCTTCATCGTGAATTTTTCCATGACAGTTTTCATCAACAACTGTTATGTTCGGTCCCTGGAAAAACTTGCTACTGTAAAGTGGCTCATATCTCTAATCCTTGCCTGATTCGTGTCTAATCCTTCCTAAAGTAAGTAGTAAAGATTATATATCGATGAGACATGGATCAGAGATAAGAGACACTTAACAGTAGTAAGGGACTTTTTTTTTTAATTTGTAATTGTGTGTTATTGCAGAGCATCGATATAGACTATAATTTAGTCTTTAATGAAGCAAATTTAAAACAAAATAGCTCGTGATGAAATTTAAATATTTTACCCGCATGCATGCACTGAATGCTTAATTTTATGTATTAATTTTTTCATTATTGATTAGTACCAAATTATTTATGTGTATTTTTATTAACCTTATTGACACTGTAAATAAAGTAACAAATATTCATATAATACAGTATTTAAAAGTACACTATTTGTAGCTGTTTAGTGACATCGCCTTTATTTATAGTTTATTACCAATCAATTCTAATGTCAACCTCGTTGTTTTTTTATTTTCTTCTATTCCTTTGCAATATCCATAAATAAAAAATATATAAAATTCTTGTGGTAATGGTTCATTGCGTCTGTAACGTCTAATAACAAAAAACGCAATTCTAACCAATAAATTGAACAACCACCAAATTAAATCTATCCATCCACAAACAACCATCGACCGAATCCAATATTGCTCACATACTCGTGCTTATTGTTAACAACAAAAAAAAAATTTTTTTTTATAACCATCGATTCCGCTGTTGCTGTTTTCAAATGCTGATCGCTTACTCCTTACAACTATACGCTTATTAATAACATCTTTAAACCTACTGTGTTAACCGTCTGCCAAAAATGCCTAACCACCACCACCCACATACTTTTGCGCTTTCACTCACGATCGATGCACATACGTACACACGCATTAATACTGCATTCACAACACCCACACACTTACACATCCCCAAACTCAACGCATTTGGGTTGTACGTGATATGGCAAAACGAACGTCCTTAAAAACGCACGAAACGCTCGCATCAACAATCATCTGCCATTGGTTCTCGTATCGTTTTTTGTTTTTGTTTTTTTTTTTTTCGCAACGTTCATCCGATCTCCTTCCACCTGCTTATGCTCGCGCTTTGTTATTGGGACGCGATCATACACATTCGTATTCACAAATCATAATAAACAATCAAAAATATACAAAAATTGTTTAAATTTGTATTGGTCTTGTAAATACTAAAGTCTAAAGGATTATGGTGTTGCCTCAAACAGATACACCTTCTGCCAAAAATGCTTCAACGACATTCAAGGAGACACGGTCACATTGGGTGATGATCCGCAGCAGTCGCAGACGTAAGTAGTAAAAGTAATCCTTTTTAGTATCAATTAAAGGCTTTGAAACATTTTTTTTATTCCGTCCTAATTTGAATTCGATATCTTTTGTTGTTTTTACATTATTCGAACGCAAACGCCAGTCAAATACGTAAAGATCAGTTTAGAGAGATGAAAAATGATCACTTAGAATTAGAGCCGTTTGTCGATTGCCAGGAATGTGGTCGCAAGCAACATCAAATTTGCGTCCTTTGGCTAGATACGATTTGGCCGGGTGGTTTCGTGTGTGATAACTGTCTGAAAAAGAAGAATTCCAAACGAAAGGAGAACAAGTTTAATGCTAAGCGTTTGCCCACTACAAAACTTGGTATTTACATTGAAACGCGTGTGAATAACTTCTTGAAGAAGAAAGAAGCAGGTGCTGGTGAGGTTCACATCCGCGTTGTATCGTCGTCGGACAAATGCGTAGAAGTAAAACCGGGCATGCGTCGGCGATTCGTCGATAATGGCGAAATGTCTTCAGAGTTTCCTTATCGTGCGAAAGCGTTATTTGCCTTTGAGGAGGTGGACGGCGTCGATGTGTGTTTCTTTGGCATGCATGTGCAAGAATATGGATCGGAATGTCCACAACCGAATACACGGCGCGTTTATATTGCCTATTTGGATTCGGTGCATTTCTTTAGACCGCGTCAGTATCGTACCGCAGTGTATCACGAAATTTTGCTGGGCTATATGGATTATGTCAAGCAACTTGGTTACACAATGGCGCATATTTGGGCTTGTCCACCATCCGAGGGCGACGACTACATTTTCCATTGTCACCCGACGGATCAGAAAATACCAAAGCCGAAACGTTTGCAGGAATGGTACAAAAAGATGTTGGACAAGGGCATGATTGAGCGTACCATACAGGATTACAAAGATATTTTGAAGCAGGCCATGGAAGATAAATTGACTTCAGCGGCTGAGCTGCCCTACTTCGAGGGAGATTTCTGGCCCAATGTACTGGAAGAAAGTATAAAAGAGTTGGACCAGGAGGAAGAGGAGAAACGCAAACAGGCTGAAGCAGCAGAAGCGGCAGCAGCGGCCAATGTAAGATTTTTGCTTTTAGAATTACATAAAATTATATGAATTTGAACCATATATGTATTTATTATTTTGCTCGACAGATATTCTCCATTGAAGATAATGAAGTGAGCGGTGATGGCAAGAAAAAGGGGCAAAAGAAAGCGAAAAAGTCAAATAAATCGAAAGCTGCACAGCGCAAAAACAATAAGAAAACCAATGAACAGCAGACAGGCAATGACCTCTCTGCCAAGATCTATGCCACAATGGAGAAGCACAAGGAGGTGTTCTTTGTGATACGTCTGCACTCGGCGCAGTCAGCTGCAAGCTTAGCGGTAAGCGCATTCTTTAAAAATAACTATACCCATGCCTGCCTCATACATGTGCGCAGTGTTTTCTTGACGTCGTTCTGATTGCGTTATCAGTAAATTTGCGAACTTTAACTTTACGGCACACTTTTTTGATTTTACTTTCCAGCCCATACAAGATCCAGATCCATTATTAGCCTGCGATCTTATGGATGGACGTGATGCATTCCTAACGCTAGCGAGAGATAAACACTACGAGTTTTCATCGCTTCGTCGCGCGCAATTCTCTACGCTATGTATGCTGTACGAATTGCACAACCAAGGCCAAGACAAGTTTGTCTACACATGCAACAACTGTAAAACAGCAGNTTTTTTACTTTCCAGCCCATACAAGATCCAGATCCATTATTAGCCTGTGATCTTATGGATGGACGTGATGCATTCCTAACGCTAGCGAGAGATAAACACTACGAGTTCTCATCGCTACGTCGCGCGCAATTCTCTACGCTATGTATGCTGTACGAATTGCACAACCAAGGCCAAGACAAGTTTGTCTACACATGCAACAACTGTAAAACAGCAGTGGAAACACGATACCACTGTACCGTTTGTGATGTGAGTACATATTCGAGATGTTTCTATGTGCATATATGTTACATAAATATAATTTGTATTTTTTTTTTTTTACAAATTTTCTTGAAAATCTTCAGGATTTTGATCTCTGTTCGGTGTGCAAGGAGAAAGTTGGACATCCGCATAAGATGGAAAAACTTGGACTGGATATTGATGATGGCTCGTCACCAGCCGATCTCAAACAAGCTAATCCTCAAGAAGCCCGCAAGCAATCTATACAACGGTGTATTCAATCATTGGTACATGCGTGCCAGTGTCGGGATGCGAATTGTCGTTTGCCTTCGTGCCAGAAGATGAAACGTGTCGTGCAACATACAAAGAACTGCAAGCGAAAGACAAATGGCGGCTGCCCTATTTGCAAACAGCTTATTGCGCTTTGCTGTTATCATGCCAAACACTGCCAGGAGCAAAAATGCCCAGTGCCCTTCTGTCCAAACATCAAACATAAACTTAAGCAACAACAATTGCAGCAAAAGTACGTAGTTTACTTGTTGACCCAAATCAATAAAGTTTATTTGTCTCAATTTTTTAATTATAGATTACAACAGCAACAGTTATTGCGCCGTCGCATGGCGCTTATGACTCGTACAGTTACCACACCAGCAGCAATTACTGGTGCTCCTGGCGTCGCCACGGCTCCCGTTGTGGTACCGGGAGGGGTTGTCGGACCGGGCAGCGTTGGTGTGGGTGTGGGCGTGGGTGTTGGAGTAGGCGTACAAGGTGTACCCGTAGCTCAGCCGAATCTGCAAGGTCAACCGGCCTTAATGGCAGCGACTGGCGCCGGCGGAATGAGTCCGTCTACAGTGGCAGTACCATCACCAGTGTCAGCTCCGATGGGAGGCATGACATCACCGCATCCACATCAGCCTGGAATTGGTATGAAACCTGGCGGTGGACATTCACCTTCGCCGAATGTGTTGCAGGTGGTTAAACAGGTAATTACTATATATGTATATATATAACATAATCAGTGGACCTAATTATGATAACTTTTAAATGTAGATTAATTCGTCACAAAACTTTTATATATATATATATTTTTTTGTGATTACAGGTGCAAGAAGAAGCCGCGCGACAACAAGGTGGTCCAATGCCGCCTCCTGTAATGCAACGTCATATAGGAGGAATGCCCAATCAAGGCAATCCTAATGCAGGTATGATTGGAGGCAATGTTGGCAATGTGAGCGTTGGTGTTGGTGGTGTTGGCGTGGGTCAAATGGGCCCTGGTGGCGTCAATACCGTCATGGGTAATAACATGCCAATGGAGCAATGGGGAGGTGGCAATCGTTATCAAGGCAATGCCAATCAAGGCATGCGTCAACCTAATCAAACGCAAGTTCAAATGCAGCAAAACGCCATGCAGCCGGTAAGTGTACAGAAAAAAAAACAATGAAGCATTACATAAATTCAAATGAATTTTCGTTTCTCTAACCTTTAGAATATGATGAGCATGGTTGGGGCGGGTGGTTCGAATCAGATGCTCGGAGGCCCAGTTGGAAATATGGGCTCGGGCAGTGGTGGCGGCAATATGGCTGGCGGTCCGGGCGTAGGTGGTATGGGAGGAATGGGCGCTGGCGGTCAAGTAGGGGGACCGGGTAGTGGAATACGGCCGCAAGGTGGTCAGCATGGATCAGCGGTTAGTGGCGGCCAAACACTGAACGAAGCACAGCTTGCGCTCATTATGCAAAAGATTAAAAACAATCCTTCGCATGACAACCAACAGATACTACAGGTCCTCAAACGTAATCCGCAAATAATGGCTGCTATTATTAAGCAACGGCAACAAAGTCAACCAAATGCCAGCGGAAACGCTGGCGGCGGACCCCCTGGTAATGGACCACAGCAGCAGCAGCAGCAACAACAAGTAATGCAGCAAAATCAACAGTTGCAACATATGATGAGCCAGCAACAACAAATGTCGCAAGTGAACCAGCAGCAAGTGGTAATGCAACCACAACAGCAGCAACCGGGACCGCCCCATCAACGTATGCCAGGCATGCAAAACCCAATGATGATGCAACAACAACAGCAGGTGCCTGGCGGCATGCAACAACAAGGACCGGTAAGTTGTTGAAGTTGAACCGCACCATACAAGTTTACAAGTAATCAAACAATCATTTCTGCCCACTATAGATGCCTAATGTGCAGTGGTTCAAGGCGCGTCAAATGCCAATGCCTAATTACCCGCCTCCTTATCCCCAACGGCAACGTGCACCACCACAAATGGGTGGGGGCGGTGGCCAACAATTTGCAGGTGGGAACTTTGGTCCTGGTGGGCCAGGTGATCAATACGCAGCTGCAGCAGCAGCTATGCAGCAAGGGTTGAAGCCACCCACACCACAGCAGCAAATGGGCGGCATGCCCGGTGCTGTGCCACAGCAACAGCAACAACAACAGCAAATGATGCAAGNACAAAATCAACAGTTGCAACATATGATGAGCCAGCAACAACAAATGTCGCAAGTGAACCAACAGCAAGTGGTAATGCAACCACAACAGCAGCAACCGGGACCGCCCCATCAACGTATGCCAGGCATGCAAAACCCAATGATGATGCAACAACAACAGCAGGTGCCTGGCGGCATGCAACAACAAGGACCGGTAAGTTGTTGAAGTTGAACCGCACCATACAAGTTTACATGTAATCAAACAATCATTTCTGCCCACTATAGATGCCTAATGTGCAGTGGTTCAAGGCGCGTCAAATGCCAATGCCTAATTACCCGCCCCCTTATCCCCAACGGCAACGTGCACCACCACAAATGGGTGGGGGCGGTGGCCAACAATTTGCAGGTGGCAACTTTGGTCCTGGTGGGCCAGGTGATCAATACGCAGCTGCAGCAGCAGCGATGCAGCAAGGGTTGAAGCCACCCACACCACAGCAGCAAATGGGCGGCATGCCCGGTGCTGTGCCACAGCAACAGCAACAACAACAGCAAATGATGCAAGGTGGTGGTGTGGTAGGTGGCCCCGGTGTCGGCATGGTGGGCGGCCCGAATGTAATGGGTCCACCTACGCCACACACACTTCAGCAGCAGCTGATGCAGACAGCGGCACGTTCATCACCACCCATACGATCGCCACAGCCAACTCCGTCTCCACGTTCAGCGCCTTCGCCAAGAGCCGGTGGGCCATCGGCATCGCCACGAGCACAACCCTCGCCTCATCATGTAATGAGCCATTCACCAGCGCCGCAAGGTCCATCACACGACGGTGGTATGCATAATCACGTTGGCGGTATGCATGTACCTCATCAATCACCACTACCAGGGGGTGTGTCACAGGATGTAGGCGTAGGTGGTGTTGTCGGGGGCGGAGTTGTGGGTGGTGCTGGTGCAGGACAGGCGGTCGCCGATGCCTCCGATCAACTTACCAAATTCGTGGAACAGCTCTAGTGCAGCAATTAGCTGTTGCAGGGACCACCCACGTACAATAACAATAACAGCAACAAGATGTACCCGCGTTATTACTGAGTTAAACCGAAATTGAAAAACTATACAGGTTTCTCAATTGCACATCCTTATTTATTATTTTAGTTGAATTTTTGTATTCGTTACGTGTTTATAATTTGTGGAATCCCTATTCAGGTTAAAGATAGGATTATGGTTTCTTTGTTTCTTTGGATAATATGTAGCTTATTTAAGAATGCCGTATGGACCTTTGTGAAGTTGTCACCACTTATTCTATTACGACTGGTTATACCTTTTGTCATTTAATTTTAGAGAGATGGAAATATGCTTACTGGGAGATGCATTAGTTGCGTGCAAGTTGTACTCAAAATAGACAAAATCGATCAAATAAGCAGTATGATAACTATTTATCGCGTAAGGTAGGTAAACCCTTGAAAAAAAAAGTAACTTCTAACTTAATATTAAAGTGAAAATAGTGCCGCCAACTTGAAAACACAAATACTTCGAAGGCTTTGCGAATCAACCTTATGCATGTTGTTTTCAATGGAGCATTTCTTTTAAAGAGAATTGCGCTGAAATATTTTTAGTTAAGTTTTTGTAACTTTTTTAATTTCTTAGTCGAGTATACTCAAATTTTGAAATGCTGTTGAATACACTCTGCCACATGCACATGTAGAATATATATGTATAGTATGTATATCCATTAATGCAATTTAAATGATTCATAAATCATAGTTGTATGTAAATTTAATGTAAGACGAAAAAGTTTATTTTTAACACTTTGAGAACAGAAAATAAAAATAAACTCTAAAATCAAATCATAAATTAATTTTGTATAAAAAGCGAAATACATTGGGTAATGCATCGGTAACTGAACTTATATGTAATGTATAAAAAAGGAGCCAATGCAAACTTTGTATAAATATGTTTTAAAATAAGTAAATGTTTTAGCTAAATTAAAACAATGCAAACAAGAAGATGTCTCGTAATTGGGAATTAACTAAGTTCTGCCGTAAATGTTCATACTTGAGTTTAGATACACTAAGATAATAAAGCAATACCAATAAATTTCCCACGTTTACCACTCGATTACTTTTGAATATTTTTATGTGCGCTTTGGGAAACTTTACCCGATTGCCGAGGCGTCTTAAAATAAAATATCGCGTGATTTTAGTCAAATCAATGTTGACGCTAAAGGTCATTAAATGATATCATTTGGGAATTCAATTTCTTTTAGCTATAAGCTAGTATGCTGAAAAATGCTATTTGTTAGCGAATAGAGAGGCACGGAAAAGGAAATGGCTTACATTAAGCCTTAAATGTCAAATTCTCTTTTTACAGGCCAATGCTATTTGTTATGCTGAACTAGTTTCTGAATTACTCGGTTTTTACCGGGTTTTTACCTATGAAAGGTTTTGATTCCATAATGTCATTTCATACCACATCCATAACNATTACTCGGTTTTTACCGGAGTTACATATGTCCTATGAAAGGTTTTGATTCCATAATGTCATTTCATACCACATCCATAACAATATAAAATGTGCCTTTTCAGTATTTATACTTTTTATGTTATTATGACATCTGAACGAATTTCAGCGGTTCCATGCTTTCCAAGTCGCCTTGATTTGATATATGGCGAAAGACATTTTTTTTATACTTGCAGAACCAAGAAAATAAATAAAAGATGCAGTCCCTAATTGATACAAAGGAAATCGAAACGATCGCGAGCATTAAATAAAGCGCTGCAAAACTATTCTGAATTTGTAGCTCAACATTGAGGAAATTAAAAAAATAACTAACGTCTTGTTTCATACTGAATTGGATTCATTAAAATCGAAGTACTATGAACAAAAATTTAAAAAAAAAAATAAAAACGAGAAATGTGCTTTTAAATTTGTAAAAAGAAGTAATCTACATATGTATAACATAAACAAATTAGATCCTATATATAATCACAATAATAGTTTGGTTTTAGAATTTGAAAGCTTTTCCAATAATAGAAGACAGTTTATTAAGGCTAAATATCACAAACGCAAAAAAGAGCTAACCTCTTAAATATATATGAACTAAGTTAAATCTGCGCGCATTATTCTCACTAAATATTTAAATTACTTTTTAATGATTTGAAACTTTGTTAAGGAGTTCTTTTATATAAAACATGATTCACGTAAATTTAAATATTTCATATTAGTATAATCAGAGCCAATGCACGCGTGTTTTTAGTTTTATTTTGTGATAGCTTTTTTATATATATATTAATGTTAGTTTATCTTTTGTTTATGGTAGCAATAAGTTTCACATTGAATGATGTTAGCATTTGTAAAAATATAAAATAACATTTACATATACTGAACACAATAATACACATACNTTATATATATATTAATGTTAGTTTATCTTTTGTTTATGGTAGCAATAAGTTTCACATTGAATGATGTTAGCATTTTTTAAAAATATAAAATAACATTTACATATACTGAACACAATAATACACATACATACATACATATGGGCGAATGCTTTGTATTTATTTGTATGGCTATAAAAACGTGTGTGTGCATATCTAGCCTGACTTTATCAAAAAAGTTCTTTTTCAGTGATTGAATGTAAAATCTCCGCCAAGATTTCGAAATTCAATGCTATTAGACAATTTCTTTGGTAAAATGAATTATGTGTTTGTATATAATTTTCACGTTAAAATTAATATTGTTTCAATAGAGTTTGTAGTTTTTACTACGTACATATGTATGTGCATGTGCCCGTACAGAGCCGCCCGATTGTCTGCGCATGCACACTCACGAGTGAGACTCAAACCTGCTTGAACATACATAACTTTCATAAAATTTCAAACACCTTCCGCAGCACGCACGCTTGTACATACATACATACATACATATGTATATGTACATACATACGTTACATTTGCATTATTAACATTATAAATACAAAAAATAGCATCATTCTGTTAAGATTAATGTCTAACTGCACTGTTTGATTAAGTTTTGAGTGCTGCACAATTTTCGCTTGATTAAGCATTTGCTGGCCATCGATCGCCGCCCGTCCGACCGCCCGCCCGCCCGCACGCCAACCATCAATAGATAAATGAAATCATAGCAAAAATTGTGCAGCTGGTAGAAGGTAAATGTAACAAATTACGCAGTAAGTTATAAATAGAAATGCATTGTACATAAATATTACATAGTGCGTAGAGTAGAAAAAAAAACAACAGCAAAAACAAAAAAAACAGCAGCATAAGTTACTTACTCAATCAATTTATAAAATAAAATCGTATCGAAGTCTCTAGATTCATAATATGTAACGTAATTATTATTACTTATAGTCGTAATATTCATAAATGTACATACATACATATTTACGTATATATATATATTTTGCAAAACCGTTAAGTTAAATTATAAGCGTATTGAAAAACAATAAAAAGCACGTAAAATTTATTAACAACAAAACAAGTCGTTTTTAAGGGTTGATTCCAAAAATCTATGTGATTTGCCTACAAACGTACATATACATATGAAGGTATGTATGTAGGTATTCGTGTTTCAATTTGTGTGAATCAGCTAAAACAGTGGATGCGTAAAACTAAACATAATTTCTCGACAAGTGTAAGTAATAGTTCAATAGTCATAGTGTGGCATTAACAAAAAAAAAAAAAATAAAAATCATGAGCACATCCCTTAATTTCGTCTTTTTTGTGTAGTTTCTTTAACATTTTAATCTTTTCCGTAGTGTATTTATATTACATAAAAAAAATATTTTAGGCCATGCTAATACGTCGGATAAATAATAACTTTTGCAAGTAACTAAATAAAAGTCGAACGGTATCGATATCAAAAATACAAAAATGCAGAACTAAGTTTACATCTTAAAAAATAATAGAATAGCAACACTTTTTACTGCAAGAGTATTTGTAAATAAATCTCTACTAATACGAATAGTGGTAAAGTAGTATATGTAGTAAAGTATCGCATTGTACTATGCAGCCGATTAACTATGTTCAATAGTTGTAACCATATGCCGATTGCTTGAAACAAAAATACATATGCAAAAGATGAAAAGCGAATTGAAATGAAAATTGGCATACAAAATGAATCAAGTTGAGTACATAACGTACCGTCTTAACTGTGAAAAACTGATATATTAACTGTAAAATTATATACATACACTAACTAAACCATTAATAGGTATGTAAAAAATTATATTTTATGAACAGGTAAATCATTATGCTCCCCAATAATTAAAGAAACTAAAAATAAATTGCCAAGAAAAGCACAGGCGCACATGCATATGGATAAAGGAAGTGACTCAAGCTAGATAATTCCAGACCAATAAAATAACGAAAATCATTTAAATGTTTAAAAGTTAATTTGCACAACAGAGATAGAACATTTTTGCTTACTCAGTGAAAAGTTGCAGATCATTCGATAAATCGATTTGGTGAATATCAGTTTTACAGTGTGTGCAGCCAGATTTCGGATCTTTTTTGACTTACAGCCGTATACATACATACATATACATATAATGCACTGTTTATTTAGGTTTAGATGTACATACATATATAAATTTGAAGCAAGTTGCTCATGTGCCCGCCAGCTAAAACATGAAGCAAAAAAATTAAAATTAATAAATATAAAAAGAAGAAAAACAAAAATAGTTTTGTAAGTGAAGAACTATTCTTAAAAACAAAACAAAAAACCAACGTGTTTACCCATCTTAAAGATCTTGTTTAAGCACTTCCTTTATTGCGATCGACATTTTTTGTTTCAATTTATGTAAAGTGTATGTATTTGAGTGTTAAAATTAGCTAAGTATGTAGGTATAAATCTATAAGCTTACAAAAAGCATTAGCAATACGAATTAATTTTGAAACAGAAAACTGAAACCGTTCTAAGATATGTAGAAAGCAGCACTTTCGTTTAAAAATATTACTAGTTTTATTTGTGAACCAATGGAGTGTTTTGATAGTAGTAAAATAAGCTTATGCATTAAGATCTAGTTAAATATGTATTACACAACATAAAAAGAAACAAAAAAAAAAAAAAAAAAAACAATAACCTAACTTAAGCATTAAAAAGAAAATTACAAAAATAAAATGAAACTAAAGGTAGTAATATCGTATATATATCTATAACAGACATACATACATTTGTGAATGAAAGTAAAAAAGGCGCGCTTGTGTATTGCATAACATAAAACAGCATTATTTGTATTATAGTAAAAATTCATAATAACGGTTTATAAATTACAATTATATACATACATACAATAAATTGATATAATAATAAATGTAAAAATTATATACAAAATTCAAAATGCGTATATATACATACCTACAAAGCGAAATTGAATAAAAAATATTAAAATTACAAAATCAATATTTGAGCCGTTTATTTTGATAGTGACGTAAGTCATTTCCAACGAATAACAGACGCGTTCAGATACAGATAATGATCACTGAAGTCAAACAAGCATGAAATAACTTATGCCACTTTCAAAATTAGCGGCTCATTTGTTTTTATTGAAAATACCTACTGCTTATAACACCATGGTACCATCAATTTGTTGAGGGTCTTTGTCGTCGGCGGCTCTTAAACCAAACCAATCTCAAACGGCAGTCTTTGACAGCAGTAAGAAACGCATTTTTGATCCACTAAGCAGTGGTTTGAAATATACATAAATTTTTTTTGGACAAAACTTGGGTTAATCAAGCAGGTTCTCTTAATTGCTAAATCGATTAACTCCACTTTTTAAAAATCGTAAATTTACGTATTGTACATACATTAATTGATCGCATCTATCCAACTTTTAATTAATAGAATTAACCCCTATTGCGAGTGTCGACTAGTAGTAGATAAACGACTGTTAGTCGATTATTGATTATTCGTGGTAAGTCGTTTTCTCGTTCAATAAGTGCGTGCGAATAGTTTATAGTCGCTCATACTTCTACAAACAAACAGTTGTAGAACAATGAGCGATACAAAACTATTCACAGTTGCTTATTGAACGAGAAACCGACATTCACAATACCATGGAAAAGCGGTAATCGAATAAGAGTGGACAATAGGTGTGTCAATTCAAGGTGGTTCTTGTCTACTACGTGAACCTTTGGCATTATTTGGCAGGTAAAAATCGAGATGGCACCACGCAAAGACTGAAATTTTGACCACACCTGAAGAAGTTGAGTACCTTAAGTACACCCGCATATGTATGTATGTATGGTTATATTTACTGTTGCCTCAAATATGTTCGTTAGGACTAAGTTTTGCACTTTATCACTTCATAAACACAAAAGCTGTCGTGTCTATGCTGTCGAGTTTTCCTATACCATTTAAATCCCGAAAGAAGAGATCTCAAGCGGTAAAACGTCTTTCCAAAATCATGAGTATGTATTAGACTATTTACGATCAAGAAATT